GGCTTCCAGACGGTGCTGAAGATGGGCTCGGAGTGGGACCTCCAGTGGGAACTTTCGATGGACTCTCGGACGGGCTAGATGATGGAGAGGGTGATGGCATATCTGTGGGCCATTCAGTTGGAGGACTGCTAGGGCTCTCGGATGGAGTAATTGATGGGGTTGCTGATGGGGTTGGTGTTGGACCTCCAGTGGGAACACTGGAAGGGCTCTCAGAGGGACCCGCAGATGGACTCTTGGAGGGGCTTGATGAAGGAGAGGGCGATGGCATATCAGTAGGCAATGCAGAGGGACTATCACTTGGGCTCAAGGATGGTTTCGACGATGGGCTCTCGCTGGGAGCTTGGCTGTCTGTGGGAGAAACAGAAGGCAGACCACTTGGATATGGACTGGCAGTAGGACTCTCACTGGGACTCGTAGTTGGAGCACCTGTTGGGCTTTCACTTGGGCTGGAACTTGGTGATACACTTGGTCCTTCAGAGGGGCTCACAGAGGGGCTAATGCTTGGGCTCACACTAGGGCCGCTGCTGGGGCTTCCTGATGGCCCCGAACTGGGGCTTACAGATGGAGACGACGACGGACTTGGTGTTGGGCCGCTGGTGGGAGTCTCGCTCGGTGCATTACTTGGCGAACCACTTGGAGGAGAGCTGGGACTTAGAGATGGAGTAGCCGAGGGTGTCTCAGAGGGTGTACTCGATGGCCTGTTACTTGGGCTCTCCGAGGGGCTTTCGGATGGAGATGGTGTGGGTCCACTTGTTGGGCCAGATGACGGGCTTTCAGATGGGCTAGCACTAGGCGTTCGTGATGGGCTCAAACTGGGAGATGAGGAAGGTGCTACGGATGGACTCTCGGAAGGACTTCTGGATGGACTTGTGCTTGGTGGAACACTGGGGCTGGCAGATGGAGACGGTGTTGGTCCACTTGTCGGGGTTTTGGATGGACTCTCTGATGGTTCCACACTCGGAGATTCAGAAGGTTTAGAAGAAGGACTGCTTGATGGACTGTCAGAGGGGCTTCTGGATGGACTGGCACTCGGTGAAACACTGGGGCTGGCTGATGGAGAAGGTGTTGGTCCACTTGTGGGGATCTTGGATGGACTCTCAGATGGTTCAGAGCTGGGAGTGACCGAGGGTTCAGATGAAGGATTCCTGGATGGACTTGTACTTGGTGAAACACTGGGGCTGGCAGAAGGAGATGGTGTTGGACCACTTGTGGGGATCGTGGATGGACTCTCCGATGGTTCAGCACTGGGAGATTCAGAAGGTCTAGACGAAGGCCTGTGTGATGGACTCTCTGAGGGGCTTCTGGAAGGGCTTGTGCTTGGCGAAACGCTAGGGGTCGCAGATGGAGAAGGTGTTGGCCCGCTGGTGGGGTTCTTGGATGGACTCTCGGATGGTTCAGAGCTGGGAGTTACCGAGGGTGACACTGAAGGTGACACAGAAGGACTGATACTGGGGTCCACTGACGGACTGGAACTAGGCCTACTACTGGGGTCTGTCGAAGGAGTGGTCGATGGCCTTTCCGATGGGCTAGTGGATGGATCAACGCTTGGAGTAGCACTTGGGATAGCAGAAGGAGATGGTGTTGGACCACTTGTTGGAACCATCGATGGACTCTCAGATGGCTTTGAGCTAGGAGATGCTGAGGGGTCAGCTGAAGGTGATGCAGAGGGGCTTTCTGATGGGTCCCTGGATGGCATCGCACTGGGGCTTACAGATGGCTCAGAAGATGGGCTCTCGGGCTCTCACTTGGTGCCTGACTGTCAGTTGGCGTGGCGGATGGCAAACCACTTGGTTCTGGGCTGCTCAGTGGGACTCTCATTGGACTGGCAGTTGGAACACCTGTGGGTGTTTCACTGGGGGGGAACTTGGTGCCCGAACTGGTCCTCTTGGGCTGGAACTTGGTGATCACTTGGTCCTTCAGGAGGGGCTTGCATGAGGGGCTAATGCTCGACTGACACTGGGATCAACTGAAGGGGAACTACTTGGTGACTCAGAAGGAGTAGCCGATGGACTGGGAGATGGCATATCGTTGGCCATTGGGATGGAGATTCACTCGGGCTGGCAGATGGAGCACTTGATGGGCTCTCTGAGGGGCTTCTTGAAGGGCTTGTACTTGGAGAAACACTTGGGCTAGCAGACGGAGAGGGTCGGTCCACTTGTTGGAACCCTTGATGGACTCTCTGATGGTTCAGTGCTAGGAGACACCGAGGGATCAGACGATGACTTTCCGAAGGGCCAACACTTGGGCTTGCCGACGGGCTGACGCTGGGCTGACTGCTTGGAGTCAAAGAAGGTGTCTCAGAAGGACTCTCAGATGGAATTCCGGATGGGTCAACACTTGGTGAAACACTTGGGCTAGCGATGGAGAAGGTGTGGGTCCACTTGTTGGAACCTTGGATGGACTCTCAGATGGTTTCAGATGATGGGATGCTTGAAGGGTCTGCTGATGGTTCAGTGCTAGGAGACTCAGAAGGAGAAGTTGAGGGGCTCACTGATGGGTCCACACTTGGACTAACTGAGGGAGTCTCACTGGGACTTCTGCTAGGAGCCAAAGAAGCATCTCAGAGGGACTCTCGGATGGAATTCCAGAGGGGTCTACACTTGGCGAAACACTGGGACTGGAAGACGGAGAAGGTGTAGGTCCACTTGTTGGGACCTTTGACGGACTCTCTGACGGTTGAGAGCTTGGACCTTCTGATGGCCCTGAGGATGGCTGGCTCGAAGGAACAACTGATGGCGTCGCAGATGGCTCACTACTCGGAGATTCACTGGGGCTGGATGATGGACTGGGAGAGGGCATATCAGTTGGCCATTGAGATGGAGACTCACTTGGACTAGCAGAAGGAGTACTCGAAGGACTCTCAGAGGGGCTTCCTGAAGGGGATGTACTTGGTGAAACACTTGGGCTCGCAGAAGGGATGGTGTTGGGCCACTTGTTGGAACCTTCGATGGACTCTCGGATGGTTCAAAGCTAGGGGTTTCAGAGGGACTCACTGATGGTTTTGAGCTTGGAGATTCTGAAGGGTCAGCTGAAGGTGATGCAGAGGGTCCCTCTGAAGGGTCCCTGGATGGCGTCACACTGGGGCTTGCAGATGGATCAGAAGATGGGCTCTCACTTGGTGCCTGACTGTCAGTAGGCGTGGCAGATGGCAGACCACTTGGTTCTGGGCTGCTAGTGGGACTCTCACTTGGACTGGTAGTTGGAGAACCAGTGGGTGTTTCACTGGGGGTGGAACTTGGGGACACACTAGGTCCTTTCACTTGGGCTGGAACTTGGTGATACACTTGGTCCTTCAGAGGGGCTTGCTGAGGGGCTAATGCTCGGACTGACACTGGGGTCAACTGAAGGGGAACTACTTGGTGACTCAGAAGGGGTAGCCGATGGACTGGGAGATGGCATATCGTTGGCCATTGGGATGGAGATTCACTCGGGCTGGCAGAAGGAGCACTTGATGGGCTCTCTGAGGGGCTTCTTGAAGGGCTTGTACTTGGAGAAACACTGGGACTAGCAGACGGAGAAGGTGTCGGTCCACTTGTTGGAACCTTGGATGGACTCTCGATGGTTCAGTCTAGGAGACACCGAGGGATCAGACGATGGACTTTCCGAAGGGCCAACACTTGGGCTTGCCGACGGGCTGACGCTGGGCTGACTGCTTGGAGTCAAAGAAGGTGTCTCAGAAGGACTCTCAGATGGAATTCCGGATGGTCAACACTTGGTGAAACGCTTGGGCGAAGATGGAGAAGGTGTGGGTCCACTTGTTGGAACCTTGGATGGACTCTCAGATGGTTCAGATGATGGGATGCTTGAAGGGTCTGCTGATGGTTCAGTGCTAGGAGACTCAGAAGGAGAAGTTGAGGGGCTCACTGATGGGTCCACACTTGGACTAACTGAGGGAGTCTCACTGGGACTTCTGCTAGGAGCCAAAGAAGGCATCTCAGAGGGACTCTCGGATGGAATTCCAGAGGGGTCTACACTTGGCGAAACACTGACTGGAAGACGGAGAAGGTGTTGGTCCACTTGTTGGGACCTTTGACGGACTCTCTGACGGTTGAGAGCTTGGACCTTCTGATGGCCCTGAGGATGGCTGGCTCGAAGGAACAACTGATGGCGTCGCAGATGGCTCACTACTCGGAGATTCACTGGGGCTGGATGATGGACTGGGAGAGGGCATATCAGTTGGCCATTGAGATGGAGACTCACTTGGACTAGCAGAAGGAGTACTCGAAGGACTCTCAGAGGGGCTTCCTGAAGGGGATGTACTTGGTGAAACACTTGGGCTCACAGAAGGCGATGGTGTTGGGCCGCTTGTTGGAACCTTCGATGGACTCTCGGATGGTTCAAAGCTAGGGGTTTCAGAGGGACTCACTGATGGTTTTGAGCTTGGAGATTCTGAGGGGTCAGCTGAAGGTGATGCAGAGGGTCCCTCTGAAGGGTCCCTGGATGGCGTCACACTGGGGCTTGCAGATGGCTCAGAAGATGGGCTCTCACTTGGTGCCTGACTGTCAGTAGGCGTGGCAGATGGAAGTCCACTTGGTTCAGGGCTGGTAGTGGGGCTCTCGCTTGGACTGGTAGTTGGAGAACCAGTGGGTTTCACTGGGGGTGAACTTGGCGAACACTAGGTCCTTCAGACGGGCTTGTAGAAGGGGCCGACACTTGGACTCACACTGGGATCAACCGAAGGACTGGCGCTGGGAATTCCACTGGGACTGGTTGACGGAACAACAGATGGACTCTCTGATGGTAGACCAGAAGGACTGGCACTGGGATCAACTGAGGGACTAGCACTAGGGCTTCTGCTGGGACCAGCCGATGGAACAACCGATGGACTCTCCGATGGGATTTCAGAGGGATCCACACTTGGAGTAGCACTTGGGCTTTCAGAAGGAGAAGGTGTTGGACACTGGTGGGGATCTTGCTGGGGCTTTCAGAGTCCTC